ATGTGGCATGGAATTTTACTCAGCATTGAGAGAATAAAATCATGGCATTTGCAGGTAAATGGATGGCTGTGGAGAAGATAATGCTAAGTGAAGTTAGCTAATCCCCAAAAAAACAAATGCCAAATGTTTTCTCTGATATAAGGAAGCTGGCTCATAGTGGGGTAGGGAGGGGAAGCATGGGAGGATTAGATGAAATGTAGATAGGGAAGAGGGGTGGAAGGGAAAGGTAGGGCACAGGGGATTAGCAAGGACGGTGGAATGTGATGGACGTCATTATCCAAAGTACATGTATGAAGACTTGAATTGAGTGTCAACATATTTTATATACAACCAAAGATATGAAAATTTGTGTATATATGTGTAATAAGAATTGTAATGCAAAAAAAGTACATGTATAAAGACAAATTAGTGTGAACATACTTTGTATACAAAGATATGAAAAATTGTGCTCTATATGTGTAATAAGAATTGTAATGCATTCTGCTGTAGTGTATTTAAAAAAAATAAAATCAATTTAAAAAAAAAAGAAAAAAAAAAGAATGACTGCCAAAGGCCACCTCATCTTGTGGGACGTTGGGAAGGGAGCATTTACAAAACACCAGCTTCAAAACCCTTTTGTGCCAGGTGCTCTGCTATAGATGAAGATGTAGTAGAATTTGGCCCACAGGCAGCTCAGCTGGTACTTTGGGGCTGGGATTCAAACCTGGGTCTAGTTCTTTCCACGAAACTGGTGCATTTCAAATTGACCCCTGTGGCAATCACTTCAGACATTCTTTGCATACATTTATTCCAAATGCAGCATTAAATATTAAAAACAATCTTTAGGGAGTTCATAACCCACTTGAATCAAAGTGTGAAATATGATATATCAAGAACTATGTAATGTTTTGAACAACCAACAATAAAAAATTAAAAAAAAAAAAAACAATCTTTAGTATGTACCCTTAAGGGTCTAAAACACACTTCAGCTGAGGCTGCAAACACCTCACAGCATGGTCTCCATTGTTGTGCATGTGGCCTACATAGGCAGAAGTCACTGATCAGGAGGGTGCTGGCCAGGGGCTGTGATAACCAAGCTGTAGCAACTCAATGCTAATGGCCCACCAGCTATAAGAATTTTGGGTGTTTCTTACCTGATATATGGCAAGTGATGAATATTTTATTAATTTGTTTCAAGCATCTACTGCAGTTCTATCAGAAACCAGATAAAGCAGGCAAGCTGTGACTTACTATTTAAAATCACTTATCTATATGAAATCAAGATTTTTTTCCCTTCCATATTGTACAACCAAAACAATTCAGAAGTAAACTGGATGCTGAAACAGTTCCCAACTAATCCATTTGCATTAATCAAAAAAGTTTCCTCTCCACCCCAGTGATTAAAGATGTTATGACTTGAATTTTGACTATTCATACTAATGATATCATTTGTTTTTATACTGTTGAAAAAGTAAAAATAAAAACAAAAACAAAATTATATTATCATGCCCTTTTGATTTGGATTAGAACAGAAAGTAGGGTTCATAATTTAACAGCTTTTTTGGTAAAAGCTACTAAGCCCCTCTCCAAGATTTCTGTTCTGGCCAACACAAAGGGAACCAAGCTAAAATAGCTATTTACATAAGGTTGCCTTATGGAAACCCAAGAAATAAGGGGGGGGGGGGGGCAGGAAGTTTTAATTCAAATTTTGCTATTAACTCACTGGGTAATCCATATGACTTTTTGCTCCTCTCTGAGCCTGTTTCTTCAATGAAAGGGAGGAGGCTGGATTAAATTAATAGCTTTTAGACTTTTAAGAGCCAAAGCCTTTCTTTTTAGCAGATCTTTCTAGGAAGTTTAGTAGACCTTTCAGGGGCCTAGGGCTCCCGACCTACCATGGTCCTGCAGAACAGTAAGAAAAACCACAGAAATGGGGCTGGAGATGTGGCTCAAGCGGTAACGCACTCGCCTGCCATGCATGGGGCACTGGGTTGGATCCTCAGCACCACATAAAATAAAGATGTTGTGTCCACCAAAAACTGAAAAATAAATATTAAAAAATTCTCTCTTTAAAAAAAGAAAAACCACAGAATCAAGTGATGTAAGGCCCCTCCTACCTTAAAGTCCAGGATTTCTGTACCCTGCTTTGAGATTATAAATGCTGACCCATGGCACCACCTCCTGTCTGAACCCCTCTCCTGGACTAGGCTGAGCAGATTCATCCACTGCACACAAGACCTTGCCTCAGCACTGACTGGAGAACCATAAGGGCAACTGAAATCCAGGGGCTGAACAACTGTTTGTGTGTAACAATGGCATATTTATTCAACTTAAATGGTCAATGAGGCTACAGCAGAATCAATGCTGTTACAACAGGCAAGCACTACTGTCAGCAGCAACACACCAGTACATCTCTTCACCAGCATCTGTGCTTCATAGGTTACATTCTCATTCTTTTTCTTTTAAATCTTATAAACCAGTTGGGAAGCAGATAAAGGCCAATTTTAAGTACCAACGTAAAACAAACTTCACTGAAAATACAATTCAAATACAACTAGATCAATGTAGGAAAAGTTGACTAAGAACTTAGGTGTAATAGAAAAGAACTTAAGTGGTAAATAAAATACAATAGCAGCATTTAAAGACTAATTCCCAGTTCAAAAGACGCCCCTTCCCCTGCCCATACCATACCTCATGCCTGGCCCTGTCCAAGCGGTCTGTTAGATCAGGCAAGGCAACTGGCATATGCATACGAACATGCAGCAGACGAGCCCAGAGGAGCAAGGCTTCCGTGTGTTTATGTGCTGAGGATCATAGGACTCATGTTTAAGTGTCAGACTCTTAGAAGGGTCACCTCCCTCTCGACAGGAAGCCTCTCATGCATTCTGGTCCTGCCCTTGAGAGATCTTGTCAGTAACCTCAACTTAAAAACAACCTCCTTGGAAATGTGACTAGAAATTAAACAGCTGGGACTCCTGTCATGTTTTCCAATTCTCTCCACAGCCCAAAGCCCATTTTAAACCCTATTAGCTCTACTCTCAGTTAATGCGATTTTGGAGGGTACAGCTGCAGCCCCAGAGACAGGCCACTTGAACAGGTACCAGTTAGATGAAACCCTGTAACAGCACCTTCAAATCAGCCCTCATTCTTCAAAGATAGAGGTCAGGGCTACAGTTAACTTCCATAGGCATGGGATCTCCTAACCTCAAGTACAGTCAAGTTTTTCAGTTATCTCAAGACCAATCACTTGCAATCTTATTCTAGGATATACCCTTGATTCCTATTTTAGTATCAAAAACTAGAAATTGCTCAACAATTTCTATTGCACTGTTTTTGTTCATTCTCCTTTAGATCTGCCACAGCACCTTTTTCCTAGAATACTCTTTGCTAACATGCAAAGTTAACAGTGAACAGATACACAAAATTGATAAGAGAAAAAATGTTCTATAAATCTCCACTGGGAAATCCCAATGGATTAAGGCAGCCATATCATGGGAGTGGAGGGGAGGAAAGAGACTTGGAGTTTAGGAGGTCAAAGTGGCATGTGTGTATTGAGAAAACACCAGGATACTCAAGTTCGGAGATGAAGAGGACATTCTGGCAGCTCAAGATCTCTGTTAGCGCCAACTACTTTAGGCCTAATTCCTCTACATAATGGCCTGAAGACAGCTGGCCTCGCCCATGGAAAATGGCTTTTCTCATGCACAGCCACCTTCCATAGGGCAGTCATAATGTACAGGTATGTATTCTGGCTCCTCTCTTCTTATCCCCAGCAGTTCTCCATTTATGGGCCCCCAACAGGGCTTGCTAAATTATGCCAGTGTTTTAATTTGATGAGGATTGAGCCATTACACTTCAAGAACAGCAGTACTGTGTATAGGCACACATTAGCCATGACACCACTCAAGTTCTTCCACACCTTGATCTGAATGCAGACTGGGCTCCCTAGTTGACTGAACCAGACTCAAGGGGCTAAGGTAGAACCCTCTTTATCTGCAGAGGACAGTTTTATTCTCAGACAAGGCACCCACAGCTTTCAAACTGAAACCAGCTGAGTTGTTTTTAAATGCTTATGCACTTTAGGGAGAAGGGACATCCAGAAAGAGATCCTACAAAGCCTGCCCTGAAGAGTGAAGGCCCACTGGGGTGCTCTGAACAGGTCACTCTTCAGAACCCACCTGACTCACCACAGACCTTAGGCTGGGGACCTGAGAGCCAGGTGCCACTTAACACCAACCTTCCAAAGAGGTAATACATCTCACCTACAGACCCACAGATGGACAGGATGCTAAACAGCCATGTAGGGAAAGAAAATCCACTTCTTTTTAGAAAAAGTAATAGTCCAGAAATGACTAGATATCATGGCCTTGCTCAGCTAGAAACAGAAGTCAAAAATCTAAAGAATAGAGCTTCCTCTCTGTGGAGGAAGGGAGGATGATGCTCTATCTAAGCACATAATCCAGTCATATTCAATTCTATTTCTGCCTCCAAGTTCTCTTGCTGCCCATTTGTATTATCTCATCCAAAAAAGACTGGCTAAGACGTCTTCTACCCACTCCCCCCACCATGTCTCTGCCTGCTCCCTGCTGCATGCAGGCTCTAATACTCCTGGGTGGGGTGGAGTGGGGGTTCAGGGGCCAGTGAATTGGCTGCCCTGAAATCAGAGGAGCAGCCAAAAAAAAAAAAAAAAACAACACAAGGAGCCTAGAGGTCAGAGGTAGTTTTAATTATTACTGATGTGCAATTCTTCCGATGCAGAAGAACAGTCAGTTGTTCAAATGCCCAATGGCTTTGCCCCTTTTTAACTTGGGAGAGCTTAGGGGCAAAATCATTAAGGAAGTGTTTTTCAGTGCTTGGGCATCATGATCAATCTCCTTGCCAAGGTCTAGAGTTGAAAAGAAATCTGTCATTTTCCTTTGCCAAATGTCAAGTTTCCCATCAGCACCAAGAGACCAAGAAACCAAGTGACCAAGAGGGGATAAACCACAGGGCAAAGAATTAAAACATGTTATAGCAAATGCCACCATGTGAAACACTCAACTTTATTCACTTTATTTATATATTTAACAATTCTAAAGTATTTACTTCTTGCTTTGACAAAAAATGAAAAATATAGGAGCACTGACTGACTCCTCTTTAGGAGAAAAGGGTTATATGTACAGCTACGGAGAGTTATGGTTCCTCCTTTACATACAAAGAAAAATATTAAAAAAGTGCTTCATTGATCAAAAAAGAGCTAAGAGCTGCAAGCATTTATTCACACTGTACATCAGACCCAAGAAACCCGTATCATAACCTCTTGGCACCTGTCACTAAGAACTGCACAATCTTCAATTACACTTACTTCTCCCTACCTTCACCATCAGAGCATGTGGAGTGTGGAGAAGAATTACACCCTGTTTCTCTAAGCTCAGACTCTGGGCTTTGCCTGGACTGACCGCGCCAGGAAATGTTTCTGGGCCACGTGTAACCATACTCAGGCACACGTAGGAGCCACCTTCCCAAGACACAGCTTGCCCTTGGCCAGGGACCTGCTTCCAAAGGGAAAGGGCTGGAACTTAAGCATTCCCTAACCTCACCTTTTCCTCTTACATGATGTACCCTACCACCAGTTAGCAGTGTTCAGCAAAACCAAGCATGGCCCTTCCCCAAGAGGGAGGGCAGGCACAAAACATGGATGCCAACATCACAAAGCACAAACCTAAATTCCTCCCTGTCCTCCCCCACACCCACCTCCATCACAAATACTCTTGATTTAAGGCTCTTTTTGGACCACATCAAAGCTCACTGAGGAAAGGTACCCCGAATCTCTTCCAGGTGATGTCACGTCTCTAAGGAACACTGCAGAATAACCAAGTGGCCCTTTACTGCTGGCCAGCAGCCAGACATGTACCCATTCAGGCAGCCAGAAGCAGGGCAGGGGGACTGCTGGGCCTTTCCTGCTGCTCCAAGAAAGGAAGGAGGAGGAAGGCTGATTGTGTGGGGACCTTCATAACTATAAAGGCTGATTCTACCCCTTAAGGGGAAGATCCATGATTTGTATGGTTTGGGAATGGGGAATTTTTGGAACCCTGAGTCTGGATTTCCCTGTCCTGGCTGAGGAAGAAAGACTGTTTGGGGGACCAGGCCCTGGAAGTGGCTCCAAGGTGTGCCTGGGGCTCAGGGCGGGCCTTGGCCATGGAAGCAGGACACCACATTCTGGCCATTCTGTACTCTCACTCACAAGGAAGCACTATCTGGCCTGCCCAGGAGGCAGCCCCCTGAAAAACAGAGGGAGCCCTAGACAATTTGGGTCAAGTTAAAAACAGAATCCCATGGGGAACAACATGCTGATCACCCATCCCTAGCTCCTTCTACCTTCCCCAAAATGGGGCCTGAGGGATCCATTTGCTGTGTGTGCCCCTCCCTCCAAATATAAACCTCATTTTCTGTTTGTAAAGTGGGATGGCCCAGCCCCTCTCAAAGAGAGAGAAGGCACCTGGGGAGGTTCTCTTGGGAAAGATGCTTCCAGCTTCCCTGGCAACAAACGTTTCCCAACCAACTTTGATGTGGTGGTGGTGGTGGTATGAGGACTGATCACAAATGTTGGTGCTAACCTTCTTTCCTGCTCACTGTCTCAGGCCTCCACTCTTGGCTCTGACCAGCCTCCTTCCATAAGGAAGCACCAAGCCATCTCCCAGTGTGCTTGACAGTAAGCAGCTCGGCAATTACAGGAGACTTGGCAACCTCTGGTCTTCCATTAAAAAAAAAAAAAAAAAAAAATTAAAACAACCAAGGGATTTTTTTCCTTTTTGAAGGCAGAGGGAGGATGGAAAAGGGAAGGGGGAAGGAAAGCGGGAGAAGGGAAAAAAAATTTAAAAAAAAAAAAAAAAAAAAAAAAATCAATCTACAATCCAGTGGTACATCCCAATTTCTGTCACTCTGTACAGGTGATTCCATGCCCCCATTCCAAAGCGCATGGGCCTCTAGGTCTGCTCAGGCTGTGTGGCCCTGTCAGAGGGACAGCAGCTTGGCCTCTGCCCACCCCAGGTCACTGAGCTTCAGTTTGAAGTGGCAGCAATGGGCTTATCCAGTTCAAGGTCAATGCTGGAGCTTGTGGGATGTAGACTGCTATAGCAAGACTTGCACACTCGACTGGGTTCAAAGAGCTGCTGGCTAGGAACCGGGACCTTCTGGTTACAACAACTGGAGCAGAATACGTTCCCACAGTTCCTTGAGATAAGAAGAAACAAAACAATGTTAGCTTCCATTAGCAAGTATGCAGTAAAGAAACCAACTTCAACAGAATTTTGTTCTGTGTAATTTTTAGGATGTGCTGGAGACTCCTTTAAAATCAAACACTTTCATTTCTCTGGCCCAGGAACAAGATAGGCAGGAATGATATCCCTACCTAGTAGAATCACATGTCATTTTCACTTTAAGGCCAAGGATACTTGGCTGTCTTACCACAATGGCTCAAGGTTATCAGGTGTACAGGAAGATGCTGCCTGACAGACCTCTGTGAGAACAAATGGTTCCACGGCAGAAGCAGTTACTAGCTAAATGGTAAGTCCTGACCCAGAAACTTACCCAGTGGCCACACCTACCTAGGCAATGGCCTCTGTGTAGCTTGTGATCACTGAGTGATCAGAGTCAAATGGAGTTGTCTTTGGGTCCTCAGAGGAAAGAAACAAGCATCCAGCCCAGCTGGGGATAAGGAGACTTATCCAAGGGCCACTACCCAAGAGGTTTGGAGGCAACAACTTATAGGGCAGACTGCTCCCATTTAGGATGGCTCTGTAGGCAGCATGCAAAGCCAGGAGTCAAGCAGCCCATAATGCATGCTCAGAAAGTGAAAGAGAGGAGAGGTATAAAGACAAGAGCACAGATGAGCATACGTGCACACACATACCCTTATTAGACAGCTGTCAGTCAGTATGGCTCACTGCCCTGCCCCATGTATCTATCTCCAGGGAAACTCAAAGAGATCTGCCAGAAGGCTTGACTACAACACAGGCCCCAGGTCTCCACCCTCTTCCACTGAAAGCCCAGCTCTGATGCATCTGTGTGGTCCAGATCAATGCCCATCATAGCTAACAGGAAAGAGAACTGACAGAGGATCAGTTTCTGCCTACCTTATAACTCTACTTTTGTTGGACTTTAAAGTACAAACTAATCACAATGAGCCTAGCACAGCAAACTCCAAGGGTCATGACACAGCCCACCAACGGCTAGGGGAAAGCAGCTCAAGGGAAAGCCTCCTTCTCAGCCAGCATCTCTTTCTGCCCTTTTCAGTCAAACCCCTCAGTATGCAAACCTATTATTGGATTAAGGCCACTCAGGCACAGGAGAGAATATTTAAGACTACTTGGGGACAAAAGAACATTACAGAGAAAAAGGTGGACCATAGGGCCACAGAAAACTAAAATGAACACATGGAGAACCTGTGGTTACACAGAAAATTTTCTGAATGCCTATGCTTTTTTTTTTTTTAAATATTCCTGCTGGAGTTCAGCTCAAAAATCTGATACAAATTTGATCAATTAAGCTTCTCTGACTTCTTTCAGGGGACTCCAAAAGACCTAAGTGGAGTCTGCCCTTAAAGTCTTCCATGCTAAAACATTCTCTGTGAAGATCACTTGTTCAGTTCTGTCTCTTTAAAAACAAAACAAAAAGGCACACTGATACTTGGAAGCTACAGCATCATTTCAATGACTGACTGACCCAAAAGAAATAGTTCTGAAAACCCAACTGGCTCCTCCATAAAATTAGACCCTGCAGAAGCACTGTTTCTTGTTACAGACGAGATGGCCCAGCTGACCTGTATGGTCAGGAGAAAAGCACATGGCTGCAGCTGGACTCAACCTCAATGGTCTCCATCATCAGCTGCTGAGGAACCCCCCCCCCGCAAGCCCACCTGCCTGCCTGTGCTCCCCAACCTCAGGCTTCACCCCACTGAGTGCAGAAAGGGGAGATGACAGCATTAGTGTGGAGAAGTTATTATAGATGTGCAGACATCACAGACAGTTTGTTGCAAATGCTCACCACGTTTGATCAACACGGTCAGTGTCCCTGCAAGGAGGGGAGAAAGAGCTCAGAGGAGAAGCCAACCAAAGATATTTGGGCTTGGGGTGCAAGGTGGGAAGACATGTGGTCCTAGAAGCATCATTAACAGATAAAGATTCTGTCCCACTTTCAAACCAGGTTCACTCATGTGGTGAGCAATGGTCCAATTCTGATAAACATTCTATCCCAAGAACACTGAACATCTGCCAGTCACTACCCCAGTGAGGCCAAAGCATCCCTAGTAATTCACTACCCAAACCAAGAAAGAGAAAATAAGTTGGGAGCCATATGAATTGAAGACCATCCTCGGCTCTCTACTACTCCCCTCAGCTACAGCTGTTCATCAGTGGCACAGGGACAAGAAGTTCAGGGACAAGGAGCAGGGAAGGAGTAGGAAAATGAAGTACCCTGCCCACAGACAGAAAACTATTTTTGCTCATAGTAGTAATGTTGAATTTTATGATGGGAATAAGAAACTGATTTGAGTGGTAGCTATTGCCTCACCAATCTGGGGCATGGGGTGGGGAGAGGCTATCATTTGAACATTTCAAAATATAATAGTGATCACTCTCAACTGGAAGAAAGATATCAAATGTAGTTCTTCAGCACCAAATTCATAGGTACAGAAGTCTGCCCAGACAGCATACTGCCGGCCAGATGCCTGCCATCCACCATATTGCAGACTCTGTGGGCCAAAGCTTAGTTTCCACACCCAGCCCACACCCCCCACGGGCACCTGCAATGGTGTTTCCTGCTGGCGAGCCAGAAGGCACTGTCACACGCATAGCAGTGGGCAGCCAGGTGGTCAGGGAGCCAACGGGTCATCTACAAAACAGATGGGGCCAGGTTAGTGTGACAGGATGGGCCAGGCAGCTGGAGCCAACAGAGCCATGCTGGGGGCAGCAAGAGTCACAAGGACCATATTGGCTCTGGAAGCACCAACCCAGCAGGTCTGATGCCAAAAGTACAAGAAAGGCGTCCAAATCGTTTCCCTGGAGGGGACTCCAATCTCCCCTGAGATAAAGTGGCAGCATCACCCTAGGTTGCTGTGAGGGCTGGCAAGGGTCCAGTTCACAGAGGCAACGTAGACAGAGGGCCAACCTGCTGAGTCTCTCTGGCTCAGAAATGATGGGCCTGATGTGGGTTCACAGGAGCTGAAATACCAGAAGCTCAGGACTAACTGTGCTACGAGGTTCTTCCTTGGTAAGGGGCATGGGGCAGGGATGGGGCTGAAGAAAAACCACCAAATAGTTGCATGGATGGCACTGAGAGCAGGGGCTGAGCCTGTACCTCTGTGTCCTGTTTATCCACCTGCTCCCAGCTGGCTTCAGAGAAAATCTCTGTGCTGCAGCGAGACAAACAGTTCTGATCCAGATTGCTTTCCGAGTCAGGGATTGAAGTCTGTTGGCAAACAAACACAGCTGAACAGAATGAACCCGGTCTCCTCCAAAAAGAAGAAGAAAGGGCTTGGTGAAGAAGGGAGCACTGAGGACTAGGTGCAGGCCTAAGTACTAGGGCTACCGAATCTGAAATGCATCAACCATTGGGCCTTGGGTTAAACAGGTGCAGAGATGATGCTGGGCTCAGTTGAAAGGAGATACCCAGGTTGTGTGCACTGACACTGGAGTCAAAACATGGACCTTAGGGTTCCAGGAAGTATGTGGGAGAGAAGTGACCAGGATGGAGTGGGAACTGGACTCCCAGTGTAAGCTGCCCTGGTGGACCTGCTGATCCAACCACGCCACTTTGTTAAAATAGTGCTTTGGGCATGGCTTCCTTTCTCTGAAGGATTCTTTGCAACAATGAGAAACCATCATTAGCATGAAGTAAAGGCCAAAAAGTTACTTTGGATTGAAAGTCATTGGATGTGCCCGCCTTTAATGTACAATGACTGCTTCAGAGCCCAGTTCACAATTGCACTTGACAAGACCCACCAAAGAAGAGAGCCCCTCTTTGAAACCCCTGCTCTGTTACTCTCATTTCTGATTGGCAATCTTCATCAGTTAGAAACTAATCCCTTCTCTCCATTTTTACTGCCAGCATCTACCAAAAAGTGGATACAAACATTTGTTTAAAAAAAAAATCTAACCTTCAAAGTTACAGCCCACATCTGGGAAGGCTATCAATTTACTAGTTTTTAATGTAGGACAAGCACTACAATTTCACAAAATACTTGGCATTACTCTTCAAATGTCATTCTGAAAACAGAGAATCCTCTCTCTGAAGAGATCTGAAGGTCCATGTAGTCCATGCTCTTTCCTTTCTCTAACTGCCCAAACAAGACATGAAAGTAAGCAAAGCAGAAAAAAGACAGTCTTCCATTTACATGGCTGAGGCTGATCTTCAGCCTCTGTGAACAGGGCTACTTTAAACCTTTTCAAATCATTTAGAAATCCTCACCAGTCACCATGCACTGGGTAAAAAAGTGTGCCCATCCTCGCTCTGCCATCTTCTCTCAGACGGCTACAGAGGAACCATGACCCACTCACCACTTCATCTCCAAAGTCCCCATTGAAGCGCAGTGATCCAGTCAGGTATTGGCTCTCCAGGCGACTCTTTAGCTCCTGGACTTGTTTCTTCAAGGTCTCCACTTCCTGCTGGTGGCCTGACTCGATCTGACGCAGGCGCTGTTGGATTGTGTCTGTGTACACAGGCATGCCATCGTCGTCCAGGTGGCTGCGGGAAGGCTGCTCAGGGCTGCTGACTGCGGATGGCCTTCCCGAGTGGCTATGCAGCCACTTGTGGTGCAAGTTTCTCGAGTGTAAATGGACAGAGCTGCAGCTTGTGGCAGACAGCTGGCGGCTCAGCGAGTCCTTGCTCCTCCCAGCCTCCCCATTGGCACAGTGCCCATTGGGTGTGGAGTACTTCTGGAGGGTGCCAAGTGCTGGGGGCTGCTCTGAGGCCTTGTTTTCAGTCTCTGGGGCACCGTTACACACAAACCCCTCTTTACATTCGGCTAAAGGCAAGGCACAAGGGGCCCGTGTTGGGCTAAGAGTGCTGCCAGGAGAAGTCCTGTGTACCACAGACCCCACTTGTGGCTTCTCAATGAGGCTCCTCTCAGCAGGCCTGGGCTCCAGTGCTGGGGGAAGCACGTCTTTGCCACTGAACCTACCAGTGATAACCAGGCAAGACTTACGGTGGACTTGGGGTCCACTTTCTGACTTCACATTATCTTCCATCAACATATCCATGGAACTGTCCATGTTTGGTCCTCTGGTCTCAAAAGGGACTTGGGAAGGTGGCGGAGAACTAGACAGTGAGGTACCATAACCAACTTTTACATCTACTAGGATGGAAGGAGCTGCATCCTCCTGGTTCTCTGTAATATCCTCTATTGGAGGCTGCTCCAAAGGAACCTCCTGAGAATCCTCTCCCCTGTAGGGTTCCTGGAGTGAACTGGAGAGAACACTGGGCCCACCCTGCTCTTCAGGAATACCCTGTGAGAATAGAGACAGGCTGGAGTCTGGATGGCTCCTCAGAATAGCATCACCCAACTCTGCTTCTTGGTAAAGTACAATGGCTGAGCCCTCAGTTGCGATCCTGTTCTCCTCTTTGATCTGTGGCATCTCCACACTACCCCTGTGTGCAGGCTCTTCAGCCCCACTCTCTTCTTTGGTGGCCTCTTGCAAAATGTTCTCCATCTGCCCCTCAGCCACCCCAGCTGCCACGGACAGCTCAGCACCCCCGGGCACCCGGCTGGGCTTTCCTAGGCTGTCAGCAGAAGGCTCCTCTCCAGGACCAGCAAGGTTGCTCAGTTCCAGAGAGCGCCGGTGCTCCTGCCACTTCTCATTCAAGCTGGGGTCGCTGCTTCGCCGGCTGGCCAGAGGCACTGTGCTGTCGCAGGCTATAGTCAGATTGTCAAATGATCTAGTCTTTGGTAGGCTAAAAGAAAGAAGTTTGGGAAAAGTGAGAATCTTGGAGGCTATTCAGAGGACATCAGGAGACAACAGGTTTTAACAAGCTGGAGCTATGACATCTCAAATAATGTTCTGGAGTGCAAAGCTCCCTCATAAGTCCTCCTATCTGCACTGCCTCTACCCTATGCCCCATCCATACAAATAAGTTAACAGCAAATGTTATTTTCAAAAGGCATTCTCCCTGATGCTGTTGTGTTTCCTCAACTGGTGGCAAGGTCGGACTGCTGATTCTTTGATATTACAGTATTTTAATTTATTACCCAATCACTCTGAATTTAATAAAGCTAATTCATAAGTAGCAAAGCCAACATTTCTATCATCTCACAGCATTTGCTTCCAAGCTCAGAAGACAAATCAGAACAGGGAGGCAGGAGCAGAGAGTAGTGGATGAAATACAAACCAGGGTTCACAAAGGGCACAGAGGATGTACTCTATCACTGAGAAACTGCTTGGTGCATGTCGTAGAACAGGGCCCAACTCACTTCTGGAAACTAGGCTCTTTATTATCTTCCCAGAGAAAACTTTAGAGACCTAAGAACATGTTGTGGAGCCAGACAATATCATGATCTTTAACCATCCCTGGCATGTTCCCATACAGGAATATACCCACACAGGACCTGAGGCCTGTGGCATCACCCCTGGGCTCACCGGCTCAGGGGAGGATCATCAGGGCTGGTGCCTGGGACTGGATATGGTGCACAGCTGTCATCCACAGGGGTAGAAGGAGATGGGCAGGGCAGATATACTGCACTCCACAGCATCAGGTTACGCACATGGCACACAGGGTACAGTACCTGAAGAGGGGGAGAGGACAGATTTAAATATGTCCCAATAAGCATTTTAGAAATATCTGGAAAAATCAAGAATATACACCCAGCTCTAACACCCCACAGCGCTAGGACACTGATCCCCAGGGAAGCAGCATCAGTGGATAGACAGCTATCTCCTAAAAAGGCCAATATAGGACTAGAGATTCTGTTTGGCAACATTTTTCACCTAAGCACCTCTTATGGGCATGAAAGTCTGAAAGGATCTTTTAAAGGTCCATTTTTTCATTAAGTATTTCTCAGGTCATCTTTATTGAATGACTAACTTTCATCAGCTTGATTTGCTGCATAAAAAAGTGAGTCATTCTGTTACAGTGATTATTTGTTTCCTGTATAAAAGCCTGGCTTCAGCAGAAACTGCCAAACCTGCTTTATAGGATCATTTAAATTAATCATGTGAAAAGGAGGGTATTTTCTTCTTGCACTGTTACTCCTCCAGGAGGCAGGGTGAAGGAGGGAGAGAAGCAGTTGGCTTAAATCTTTGATTTGATTATTTAAATGTAATGAGAAGCATATGAATAGCCCAGTTAAGCAATATAACTTCTGATTAACCTGCTTTGATTTCTTATGGGTTTAAGATGCATTCTGAACAAAGGAATTTTACCATCTATTGACACGCAAATGTATGTGCCCGTTTTCTCTGCTGAACAGAAGGTATTCCTTTGAGGAACAAAGTCTTAAAGGGTCTGCTAGCTCTCATATGAGCAGAGAAACACATAAACAGTATCAGACCCAGTTCTGTGCTGAGACAGAAGCTGCAGAGGATATCATCACCTGGTACATGAGGAGGTGCCAGGGGCCTAGGAATAGCTCCTTCTGAGATATGAGAAGCACCCAGAAAACAACTTAAGTGCTCTTCCACCAGTTAAACAAAACATGCTACGAATAAATTAAGCTCTGGAGGAAGTGCCAGAAAAGATTGGTGTCTAGGGTGGCAAAGTAGAAATGTATATTAAAACACCCTAAGCAAAGTGGTCAGAAGCAGGTCAGAGCATCATCAGAAAACAGTTCTTTCTGAGAATAGTGAGGGAAAATGGAAACAGCTCATCCATAGATAGAGATGCTTTCACAAAAACAAGCACTATTCAAACAGGCTCCCATATGTCCACTACCCCAAACTCATTCTGCTGATGACAGAGGAAAGACTGAAGGATACATACGGCTTCTGACTGAGAGGAATACAGTAGGTTTTTGAAAGCCTTGTTGCCAGCCCGTAGAAGCGACCATACAGAACATGTTCGTTCCTGAGTATGCTTTTCCCCTCTCTCCTTGGCATTGTTGCACAGGAATGTTCCAAAGAGGCAGGAATAGGTATGCTGCACCAGTTTCACCTATGGGAGTCCAATAAGGCAAAATCATGCAGTAGGGCACACATGGGAGCCCAGCAGAGCCATCTACCCCGACATGTCTGAAAGCACTTCCCGACATGTCTGAAAGCACTTCAGTTTTAAGCTGTCAGGATAGGGAAGCCCGGTTGGTCACACAATAGCCTCCTCTTCATGCCACCAACTCCAGGGCCTGACTCTATCCACCAGCATTCCTAAGTTAAAGATAAACTGGTACACCCCCAATTCCTCTTAGATTCCCTGTTCAACAGTCTCTGAGCTTCTGAGTTAACAGCCATCCTCAAGAGCAACAGAGCACAGAAGCTGGGTGCAAGAGCAGGTCAGTGTAAAACTGTGTCGAAGCTGAAAGCACATTTGTAAAACTATTTGTTTATTCCACAAATCATTACTGAACATTTCACTTGCCCCAGGCATGACTACAGGTACCAGAGGTGATGGATATGCAGCAATTATCAACCAGCTTTCCTGCCCTGATTTAGCTTACTCTAGCTAGGGCAGAGGTGACAAATACTATGAAGAATAATAGGACAGGGTGAGAGGGACACCAGGCAGGGGCTAGGCTGTGGGAAGGCCTCACTGGTTGAGACCTGATAGAAGGAAGAGAGGAAGTCATGTGGGTATCTGATGGAAAATGCTCTAGGCAGAGGCAACCACAAACACAATAGCTGAGGGGAGTACACTTACAGTCTGAGAAATAGTTAAGAGGCCAGTGGAAGGGAGGGAGGGATAGGAGGAAACAAGCCTAGAGAGGTAACCTCTAGGATGGCCTTTTAAGCCATTTTAAGGACTTTGGCTTTTACTGTATGAAATATAGTTACTGGAGGTTTCTGAGCAGGGGATGACATGGTCTGTCTAATGTTTTAGAAGGACTAGCTTGACTCTATATGAAAAGAGTAGGAGATAACGGTGGCCTGGACCAGTGTGACATAGTAGAGGTGACAATAAATAATAGGTTTTAGACACGTTTTGAAAGCAGAACTGCAGACTCTAATAGACTGAATGTGAAATAAGAAGGAAGAGTTGAAGATGGCATAAATGTTTTTGCCCTAAATGACTGGAAGGATGAAGTTGCCATATGGTGAAATGGAAGACTCTTACAAGATTAAGTTTGTGGGGAGATGTAGAAATCAAGAATCAAGTTTTAAATGAATTAAGTTTGAAATGCCATTAAGACATCCAAATAGAGATACCGAGTGTTCATGATTGTGGCTGAAGTTAAGTGTAGAAGTCTAAGCTGAATGGATTCTTATCACATGGAGAGCAATTAAAGCCACTAGACTGGGTGAGATCCTTCAAGTAGTTAAATGGAAAAGTAGCCTGGAGGATGAACCCTGGGGCATTCCAAGATTCAGAACTAGGGAGACCAAGAGGAATCAGCAAAGCAGACAGAAAGGACCAGTCAGAGAGGAAGAGGAGAATAAGAGTGGTAAGAGTAAGAGGTCAACTTGAAGAAAGTATTTCAAAAAAGAAACTGAACTGTGCCATTACAATTGATGGATCAAAGAGATAAAGACTAAGCACTGATCACTGGGTCAGCAACATGAAAGATCATTGGTAACCTTAACAAGAGTAGCTTTGGCAAAGTGTTATGGTGCATGCCTTCCTGGAGTGGGCTGAAAAGAACAGAAGAAATTTGAGATAGCTAATATAGGAGCTCTGCAGTAAAAGAGACCACAGATACAGGATAATAGCTAGAACAGAATGCAGGACCAAGAAAGGGTTTTGATAAGACAATATATATACATTATACTTTGTCTGTATGTTGACAGCTGTGATCTGGGAAAGGGAAATATGCCATTGCAGAAGGAAAGAGGAGAAATGCTGGAGCTAGCCAGCAGGACAGATGGGAGGAGATGGGAACTGTGTATAGCAGAACAGACGGGCTAAAAAGGACAAGGATAGTGCATCTTTTATCAAAGGAGAAGGGAGCAGAGAACTTTGGAGACAGTAGGGGCTTTGGTAGATGGACTGGAGGGAATATGGGACACACTAATTGCTTCTATTTCTAACTACTATTTAGGGTTTCTATCATCTCTTTTAAAAGCTAAGTTTAAAACAACTCAAGGTTTACAAGAAAAAAATGGTACATCTGGATTCACTAAGTAAACAAATGCCTATTTATTATTGTTTTCAAATAAAAATAGGAGAAAATAATGACCCCTCTACTTAAATTATAAAAAGGCTACATACTTTCATGTGAAAATTGGACCACTAATATTTGCATAAGTAACACCTCCAATTTTGATGGTTCCCAAAATGTAGAATCAGAAGCCCAAACTCACAAGGAATGCTTCATTGAACTCAAAAGAGCAAGGAAATTGCCTCTGAAGCTGATGAACGCAGTCAAGCCATTGCAGAAACACTGGGCAACGCTCGTTCAGATCATCCGAGTTCTCCCCATGACCGCACCGATCAGCAAACTTATGGCCAAAATCTAGCCACTCCATCTCCACAAGGACCTGGAAACCCTGCAGGGAGGCACCCAGGAAAGACAATTTGTGCTGGGCTATCCACACTGTAGCAGTCCTGAACCTGGTGTCACCATCAGCAACCCCCTTTAACAGCTTCCCAGTAGGTTCCTCTAGCCTAGGTCCATAGCCAGCTCCTTCTATTGGTACACAAGTCTAAGGAACTTTCTCAATTATCTGAACTCCATTCCACACTCACTGAAAGGGCCCTAACAATGCATCTTAGTTAACTAAGCCCCTTTCTTGAATTTGTTCATACTTTTAGCCTCCAGACTAACATCTTGAGGGGTGTGTGTGTGTGTGTGTGTGTGTGTGTATAAAATGAGTACCAGGGATTGAGCCCCAGGGGCACTTAATCCACTAAACCATATCCCCAGCCCTTTTTTGTATTTTTATTTAGAGACAGGATCTTGCTAAATTGCTAAGGCTGGCTTTGAACTCATGATCCTCCTGCCTCAGCCTCTCAAGCTGCTGGTATTATAGGTGTGCACCACTGTGCCTGGCACTTGAGGGACAATTTCCCAGAGAAAATTAATATTTAATGTTTTATAAAAGCCATATATTCCCCCTTAATTTTCCTTTTATTTTGAATTTTGCACATTTGGTGCTATATTTACAAAGTCATTTTTGTAAAATCCTTCCCCACCCTAGATTTTTACAAATGTTATATATGTTTAAGCGTACTTTGTGGTTTTTCTTACTTCTTTAACCCAAAAGGAGGTTATTTTAGGGTCAGACTCCTTCTTGACAGAACACTCTTTTGGTAATATCTAGACCTATTATCATAAGCAAACCAAAATCCTTTTTAAAGAAGCCTCATTTTCCTGGGTTAGCCAGAACTTTCCCATGTAGACAGGCTATAAAAGAAAAGATCTATATTTCTCAATACCTTGTAACCTACAATCTGTCGCACTTTAATAGGCATAAGAACTGCAGCAGGCACCTCTAACAATGTAGCTCAAGGTGCAGGAGGAATAATTAAAAACAAATTTGGCTTTCTTTAGACCTAATTGCTACCCCCCCCCCAAAAAAAAAAAATGATCATAAGACTCTCGGAGACCTCCCACACTTGTTATACAGTACCAACTCCCACACTTTGGACACACTCACCTCTATGGTTCGGTAATAAGGGTCCAGCAAGAGCTTAGCCAGTGCCACAATCTGAGGGGTGCGGTCCCAGCCATCTGAACAGTGCACTAGTACAGGTCGCTGGTCACGATCCACAGCATGCACCACCAGAAGGGCCGACTTCAAAAGCACAGATAGGTGATGAAGCCACTTTGTGCTTTCAAGAGCTGAAAGCCAACTATAAAAATAGGAAGGGATGAGGCAATTTTTAATGATGTATTGATCATATCCAACGCCTGTCAAATAAAAAGCAATACCCCAAGATTTTTCTCTTCAAATGTGACACTGCCAAAACAAACAGAAACTCTGTTTATAAAACATGTCCAAAAACAAGACTCAGGCCTTACTCTGTAATAGAGGGCATCCTCAGAAATAGGGACTGTATTTAATAAGACCACCTTTGGTTCTAACATCTTTGGTTCTAACATGCTGATGAGTAATTTCCCAGAGAAAATTAAAAAAATTAATGTTTTTCAGTCCATAGTAGATACACACAGTATAAGAAAAGTGGAACCTTCTGAGAGATATTTCTAAGATGTAAAACAGAAGACATTTAAGAATCAACAATCCTTCCCAATAAGTTCTCAAAAAAAAAAAAAGTAAACTTAAAAATATAAATAGTCTATAATGAGATATAAGCTGAACACTGGACACCACACATGGAGGGCTGGAGTTATAGCTCAGTGGTAGAGTGTTTGCTTAACATGTGTGAGGCACTGGGTTCAATCCTCAGCACCACATATAAATAAGCTAAATAAAGGTATTGTGCCCATCTATAACTAAAAACAAATTTTCAAAAAAATCTGAATGGGGCTGGGGTTGTAACTCAGTAGTGAAGCATTTGCCTTATACATATGAGGTACTCAGTTTGATCCTCAGCATCACATAAAAAAAAAAAAAAAGGTATTGTGCCCATCTAAAATATATATATATTTTAAATCTGGATGAGCCTAATAGGATGATTTAGACTTATGAAACTAGTCTACCAATGGCCACATGGAATTGCTACGCTTTACCCAGACCAGATTGAGCAGGGATCTAGAAGAATCTTTTTTAAAAAAGCACTCAAGAATATCAGATAGCAAGAACTGCCTCTTGGGAGTAATCACCAACTGACACATTTGAGTTTTTGTTTTTTGTTTTGATTTGTTTTAATCTGTGTTTACATATGTTTCTTGTGCTTCTCCCTGCCCCTAATTCCCAAAAATGAGTTCAGATTTTTCTAAAATGCAAAATTTGTGGTTAAGACAAGTCCAGGTCTTCAAACAATGAGCCAGACAGGAAGGAATAAATACAGATGAAATGGTGGTACATCTGTTTTAGGAGTAACTGCCAACACTAGGACTACAGGACAAAGCCATAAAGGTCTACTAAATCTCAGGGAATGAATGAATTTTTGGAAGAGTCTAAGGAGCGGGGGATCTTCCCAGCCAGACAAGCAGACTACAGAATTAAATGCATATGTACTGATTTCATATAGATTAGTACCGTCTACCACCTGGACTGTGACTCTTTGGAGAGCTGACACTGTTTCCATCACAAATGTACTGAGTGCCTAGTATTCAGAGAGGAGACCTACTGTTTAATGAGCTGTAAGTCTGCCATCAGTAAAAACACAATATCAAGACTTTCTATCTCCTAGTAGATACTAGGAAACATTTTTTCCTGATGTACCAATTGTTTATTCTCACTCTTCACATGGCCGTGAAGGAAACCAAACTATAGGCTTAAGAGACCAAAAATGAAATTATCTTTTTACCTCTGGAGAAATGGTAAACAAAAGTATCAGTGTAGGTTTCTTTTGAACATGACTGAACCGTTATAAAATACCAGTTGGTGCTACCCTAGTCTAAGAGAAAAGCTGCACTCTGAAGTATGCCAGCAGAGGAGGTTCTGGAATACAGCACACTCCCCTGTGCTACTCTCAAACTGGAGCAGAAGCATCCCCTGATCCTCCACAACCCCAAACCACCATTGGGGATGAACTAGAGCCATCCCATCACTACCAAAGCGGCTTTTTTCCCCCCACAAGAGGCTTCAGTAGTGCATTATGATTTGCTGCTTCTTTAATAAAATTCCCTAGATATTAATTTGGAGGAAGTAAGAGCTAATAATCTGAGTTCAAAAACTAGCTTTTCTAGCCCAGTGGCTTGGAAGACTGAGGCAGGAGGATGGCAAGTTCAAAGCCAGCCTCAGCAAATTAGTGAGACTGTCTCAAAAAATAAAAAGGTCTAGGGATATGGCTCAGTGGTTAAGTGCCCTGGGGTTCAATTTCCAGTACCAAAAAAAAAAAAAAAAAAAGCTATTTTCGTAATTTTAATATGGACGATATGAGAGATCACATAATTGGCAATCTTTTTTTTTGTTTTATAGACAAAAAACTAAGACCTACAGAAGTAAAGTCACTTTGCCAAGGTCACAAACTCAGTTTGTGGCAGGTCTCCTGGGTTCTCAGCCAGGCACCTTCTATGCCTCATCTTAGAGGAAAGGGTGCTGCCAGATGGGTCCTGGAATTGTGTAGGAATTGCAAATAGCAAATCCCAAAGGAAAGTAGGAAGCTCATTTCTTTGAACAGTCTACCCACAAAGGACACTTGCTTTAACCTAAGGGCTGAATGGAACTGTAATGAATTTAATCCTTTGCTACTAAAAGTCAATACAAGTAGTTTAGGCAGTACCTGATTTAATAAATCCAATAAAGAATGCAGCAAAACTCAATGTGATCATGAGATCTACTGAACAGGACCCAGGGAAATGACTATGGGCTTTAGCACAAACTCTAGAAAAAATGAATTCTATCTTCTCTGGCACCAACTCTAGCTTCCTGAAATAGTAGAACAGGGGTTTTTAAATATTTATTGTCCATATTTGTTTTACAGAGCCCTGCTCCTAATTTATGTTGTATTCAAAGAGTACCCTTGCAGAGGGTATTACTTCACCTTCCTTATTACAAATGCCAACCATTCATTTTTAATGAGCAATAAAAATCATGATAATGTTCTCAGTAAATAAAAGAGTAGTTTAGAAATCAGAAGCAAGAATAAAAGAAACTGACCGAATGACAAGTTTAACCCATTTTAGAACATGAAGAGTAAACTGACTTTTTGTGGTAAAACAACCCAGCTCATAGCAAATAACTGTCACTATAGGATTTCAGAAAACAAAGAATAAAAATGCTTTAGGACAAAAACAAAGAGAAAGAGAAAGGGTGGGAGTCCCAGCACAAACAAGGCAATGCTTCTGTTCTAAAAAGGACTGAGATTTTTTTCCTGTGCTGCACATTTAAAAATGTTTCAAAGGGCTGGGTTTTTCTTCCACCTCTGCTCTATGCTGCCTTGCTCCTGATGCAGAAAGAATATGTAAAAAGGCTAAAAATGTAACTTAAGTGTACCATGAATCAGGAGAAGATACCTCCAAATTTAATTAACAACAAAAAAAGAGCAATGTAAAACTAAAGTCTTACTTTCCCGGATCTGGTGTCTGTGTGCACAGCAACCTCAAAGACTGAAAACTCCTCCGGATAGAATGAATGTTTGCCATCCCCATAAACACAACTTCACAGTTCGGGTAATAATCTGGAAAGAATAACAATAAAGAGAACACAAATATGTTGAATTTAAAGCCTGCATGACCAAATTTAAAAGATGCAAACTGGCTATAAAACAAATCCATTGCAGCTGCTGACTAATGAAACTGCAATGTTGTGACGCTTGACTATTAATCCAGTGCTTTATTCAAAGAGGCAAACAGCACTTGCATTTTAGCTGTCTTTGTAAAAGAGGTGAAAAAGGAAAGTTAGAGCTTTAAAGAAGGTACTAACAAAATAAAAGCTATTATGTTTTAAAAGAAAGACCTATAAACTTCCATCTCATCTTTACTTCCTGGGCCTCATCTATTTGTGGCTCTGGAATTTCTCTGAAAAGAATCTGGCAGAACAATGCCTTCATGCATTTAAATTTTACCTTGGTACAACTGCTTCCAATTTCCAGCTCAGGTCACACCTAAATAAGCAGCTTGGTACCTCTTCCTGCACCATCAGCCACAACTGGTACCAAGGAGTCCCTCCTCAGAGAAAGCCACCATTCAAACAGCAAAGGTGTTACAAGTCGGGACAATTTTCACCCCAGGTTTTCTAAGGAAAAAATCCCCACATGGAGTTTGCCAGGAGGCCAGTAAGGAGCATACCCACTGTCAAAGGCAACAAAAAGCTTTCAGAAGACTGAGAAATAGAGCCACTAAAGCAGCATCCAAATGTAAACAGGTCTTATGGAAGATTTGCTTTCTTTATCACCTAAAGGTTGGCAGGAAAGGAAGATTATTTGGCTTCACTGCACCTCCTCCTCCATATCTGCTTGGAAAAGAACACACAATTTTAAGAATATAAAGAGAAGCTCTGGCTCTCTCAAGAAAGAAGGGGAGAAATATGGCTTGTCACTTATTTCAAATTGAGAACTAAGTCCAGGTTGGGCATGGGCTGGACTCATAAGGAGATAGTATTTGAGGACCATGCACCATCCACCTTACCTGGGCATTCGCAGCCTCCTCCTTTGGCTCGGTTTGCCACAGCTGCTGCATAGGAGCGAGCATCCAAGATCAAAAGCTTCTGCGGTTGGATGGCTAAACTCTCTGCTCCTGAAGCATTTGATAGAGAAGAATCTACAGACATCAGGAAGGGTGGACGGGTAAAAACTAAATAAACCTGTGTCTCTGAGAACTGTGAAAACTAGAACCAGAGACACATGTTGTAGTACCAAAAACCTCAAATGAAACCTCCTAACCAGACCTAGATAGAAAATAAACTAAGAAGAGTAGTTCATCTATTTTCCCTTCTTATTAAAAGTTGACAATTCATTTTCCAAAACCAACTCTTGAGGTAAACATGGAGATCCACATAGCCCAACCTCCTATATCTCATTTCTACACCTATAGTCCAAAACTTGGTACCTCCCTACAAGGAGTATAGATACACTACAAGTCCCCATCACACTCATACTCCATTCTTGTCATGACAGCCAGGCTTGAAACAAAGAGTCTTCTGGTTCTTGGCCAAGACTCAAGACTCCTCAAATAATCCCATCAAATTCTCTTCCAGAAAGTACTAAAGAAAAGGCCACTTTGGGCTGGCATTGCAGCACAGTGGCAGAGCACTTGCCTTGTACATATGAGGCACTGTGTTTGAGCCTCAGAACCACATAAAAATAAATAAAATACAGGTATTGTGTCCATCTACAACTAAAAAAAAAGAATAAAGAAAAAGAAAAAAGAAAAGGCCACTTCAAGAAAAGTTTCTCATATACTATAAAACTGCTGCTGTGGGTACAGGTAGCACCTTACCAAACTCCACATCGGAAAGGTCTCCCCCATTGGGAAAGTCTCGGGAACTATTCCTAGTTGACAGCTTGCTGCCACCACTCGATCGGGAATCAGAAGCACAAGCTTTGGCTACTGACTGCACGAGGTGCTCATCATCTGCATTTCGCCAACCCCACCAGCTGACCTCTGGCTGTCCACAGCGGGCAATGACAGCTCCATTGCTCTGGTGCCTGTGCCAGGAACATGAGAAAACAACTGTATCATCCTAAGGGTACATATTTAGGGAGGCCCATTCAAATGCTCTGCACTCACATAGAGAGTAAGGTACAGAAGTTTAAGCACATTAATGAACAACCTACTCTAGGTAAGTCCTGAACTGGCTTCAAGTTGTCTCAATTGAGGGCAAAAAATGTACACACCAACAATAACAATAAAACCAGTAAGTATCTTTCTCAAGTACCATACCATCACAGAGATCTCTGTAAAGTTACTTACAAAATGAATAGAGAAATATTCATTTAGAGAAAATAAATGAATACTCATAATTTCAATATTTGAATATTGTATTTCTAGGAAATAAGGTAAAAATGATCTACAAATACTACATTAATTTTCTAGTCAATAACTAAATCCCCCTTTCTGATATGGTACCTAAATACCCTAGAATAATATATGCTGAACTAGAGGGGAAAATGTGTTGTTTCACTGACTCCCGAGGGTCTACTGCAGCAACTATGCTTGGGCTTCTTTTTTTTTTAAACAAAGCGATTGAACCCAGGCGTGCTTAACCACTGAGCCACATCCCCAGCTGCCCCCTAACAGCGCGCTTTTTAAACATTTTATGCAGGGTCTTACTAAGCTGCTTAGGGCCTTATTAAAGTTGCTGAGCCTTCTTCCCCCCATTCTCCCTGACACACCCCAAACAGATCCTACCTTTGGAACTGAAAACACTTGCCTAGACAAAATCTGAGATTTCATGAGTCAAAAATTGCTCTTATTTAGGCAGATGGCTCAATAAGCCCACTATCCTTCCTCAGGCTCTTAGTAAAAGAACAGCAACCTCAATAAATCATACTCTGACAGATCTTTTTTCCCAAAGCAGAAAT